GGCAAGTCTCACGGCGGAGCGCTGCTCCACCTGATCCAGCATGTATTACACCAGTGTTGTCACTCCAACTTGTTTAATATTCCGTCTGATCTTTATATCTGTTGTGTTACACTTCACTGTTCACTATAGTCCAAATATAAAGACATACACGTATATGGTGGGGGGGGGGAGGTACTGCTATGAATGCCGTCCCTTTTGGATCTTTCCCGGTTTCTAGTCATTATTCCACTGGACAGGCCAGAAAATGTTTTATTTGTTATGAGAAGGCTATGAGTTGCAGCACTTTTGAGAAATTCACATTTTATAAAGTTACAACAGGAATGCTTGGTGACATTTCCCCAAGATGGCAGTTTAGAAAAGTCGTCACTTGAGATGGATTCGGCGTCTAGGGGAGCAGAGGTAAGGAAGCTGAGACCAGGATGAAAAGAGGGGAACAAGAATGGTTGAAGTTGCTTGAAGTACTCAACCAACCGATAGCTTAAAGCTATGCAGTCAATGAACGCACTCTTGCTGTCCTCTAATTTGAGGCAGGAGGTGATATTGTGTCCCGAGGGGTTGATGGAGGACATGCTCTGGAGCAAATCCTGGATCACAGGATCTGCTCCAGGATTTTCTAAGAAATCATCGAAATGAAGCGAGTTAAGATGTTGTGTACTACAACAGGCCTTGAACCATCACAAAGAGCAGCCTAGTTAATCTCAGGAAGGTTATTTCGACTTTTTTCCCTGAGAAGTTGCAAGTTGAAGTGCAGCAGTGAGGGGAAACCCGTTGGTCTGGGACCGAGGAGTGACGTCAGACGCCCAGACTGAGAAGACTCCTATGTGAAGGGCCTCTCTTCAGCTTACTCAGGATGGGTCACATTTCTCGAGGACAGTACTAGCTCATGAGGGTCTCGCATCGCTGAGGTGAGAAGTGCAATGAACTTGTTGCCTGCAACAGCAACCCTGATTATGATTTCCCAGTGAGGCAGGTAGTAGAGCAGTGCGAGAGCCAACGGCACCTGGCAGACATTCCTGTGAGCAGTGAAAGACTATGATTTGTTCTTCAGTTACAATGGCAGTTCTGACTTGGGCAGTACAGTAGGCCAGGTGAGTAGAGACATAACAGTAGTGTGGCAGTGGCAGCCCTCTGGCAGGAGCCACAGTTATCCAGCTAGGAGTGTTGAGAGGTAGTCTCGTAGTGAGAGCATCCCTAGTTCGCAGTGTCGCGGCACGGCGAGCAGCTGGGGTTCTCATTACGTCACTTGCCCACCTGTAGTCATCAGCCATCACCTGGGCCTCAGTGGCTGAGTGGAAAGTACGCTGGACACGTAATCCTGTGCACCGGGTTCGATTCCCGGTGCATGCGAGAAACAAAATGGGTAGAGTTTCATTCACCCTGATGCCCCTGTTACCTAGCAGTAAATAGATACGGGGAGTTAGACAGCTGTTACGGGCTGCGTCCTGGGTTGTGTGTGTGTGTATTTCTGTTTGTGGTGAAAAAAAATTAGTAGTAACAGTTGAGAGGTGGGCCGAAAAAGCAGAGCTCAACCCGGGCAAGCACAACTAGATGAATACAGGCGGGTCAGACTCATCCCTAGGCATCAATAAAACATTCTGTGAAGAGAACTGCGGTGTGCACTTCTCTTCAATGGTCACCTCCTCTCTGGCCTCCTCTCTAAATGCACTTCTAGACATCGCGCTATCATTTCCTTTCTCACTTGCTGTATTGGTTATTATTTTGTATTCTCCGTCAAGTTCGTACCTGAACTGAAGACCTTTCTATATAACAGTAAAAGATGAGAAAATTATATATTACCTGTTAAAAGTTTGTTTTAGAATGCTGAATATAAAAAGTGTTAAACGCTTCAACACAAACACCGAGTTTCACTGACCAGTTGTTCTTCCCAGGAGCTCGTGGTTCAGCTTCCCAGGAGCTCGTGGTTCAGCTTCCCAGGAGCTCGTGGTTCAGCTTCCCAGGAGCTCGTGGTTCAGCTTCCCAGGAGCTCGTGGTTCAGCTTCCCAGGAGCTCGTGGTCCAGCTTCCCAGGAGCTCGTGGTTCAGCTTCCCAGGAGCTCGTGGTTCAGCTTCCCAGGAGCTCGTGGTTCAGCTTCCCAGGAGCTCGTGGTCCAGCTTCCCAGGAGCTCGTGGTTCAGCTTCCCAGGAGCTCGTGGTTCAGCTTCCCAGAAGCTCGTGGTTCAGCTTCCCAGGAGCTCGTGGTTCAGCTTCCCAGAAGCTCGTGGTTCAGCTTCCCAGGAGCTCGTGGTTCAGCTTCCCAGGAGCTCGTGGTTCAGCTTCCCAGAAGCTCGTGGTTCAGTTTCCCAGGAGCTCGTGGTTCAGCTTCCCAGAAGCTCGTGGTTCAGCTTCCCAGGAGCTCGTGGTTCAGCTTCCCAGGAGCTCGTGGTTCAGCTTCCCAGGAGCTCGTGGTTCAGCTTCCCAGGAGCTCGTGGTTCAGCTTCCCAGGAGCTCGTGGTTCAGCTTCCCAGGAGCTCGTGGTTCAGCAGCGTCTCCTGGTTCCCACGTTTTCGTAGCACGTAAAGAAAAAATAATTAAATCGTGAAGAAGAGATGGTAAGAGAGGAAGGTGTTGTTGACACACAGGGTGTGTGCGGTGCTCACCTGGAAGTCGATGGAAGGTATTGGCATCTCACACAGCCACCACTCTTTGTCACGGGGGCGGAAACAGGTCCTCAACAGCTGAACCTTACTGAAAACCATTCAACTTGGGTTAATCCTTTTCCTGCCGTGTTTCACTGCTACTTCGTCGCTTATATGTTGTCAGGGAGTATTTCACTAATTTAAAATATTTATAAAATAAACAAATTTTGTCAAATCAATAAGAAATATCGTAGACGTCCATTAGAAGTTAATTTGCATAAAATATTTTCACATTCCATAACCAAAGCATCCTCTATTTATCAACTTATAAGAAACTACTTGTTAATTTTAATGCGTTACAAGGTGACCTTTGAAGCCTTGTCATTGTGCTGGAGTGAGCGTTCCTTAACGGTACGCAACGGTACGCAATATTACGTTCGCAATCGTACGTTCAACGGTACGCAATCTTAAACCTTACTAGGGAAATTCCCCACACCCCTAGTCCACACTCCAGGCCTCAGAACCTTAATTAAATATAGTGCACATATGAGAGCTCCTGAAACCCATTTATAATGCTCAAATGAGAGCTCCTGAAACCCATTCATAGTGCTCTTATGAGAGCTCCTGAAACCCATTCAAAGTGTTCATATGAGAGCTCCTAAAACCCATTCATAGTGCTCTTATGAGAACAACTGAAACCCACTCATAGTGCTCATATCAGAGCTCCTGAAATGCCTTCACGGTGCTCTGAGAAAAGCTCCAGCGGAACATAGACACAATGCATCATGAAGAGTGTGTTAGAACACAAGCAAGCAGATAGCGAACCTTGTTGGCTTGACCAGAGTAGCGGACAAGCAACTTGTGTCTTCTGCTGCTTCAAAATATTAGATGAGCCACGACCTGCTAAATAATATACAGAATTCCAACAATTACTTATATAAATCACCCATGATTATCTATGGTTAGTAATGAGAGCGGTTATACCTTATTGGTAAAGGCAGCTGCTTCTCGATCCTAAGGTTTGACGCATTTATTGAGGCAATTTTTGCTAATTGTTTTGTTTTTATTAACACGTTTAGGTACATCTGTATTTGGGGAGTTTACAATGTGTGTCAAGCACTAGCTACCCTAGACTATATGAAGTGGAGAACAGTGTGTGTGTCAAGAACTACCTGCCCTAGACTAAATGAAGGAGAGTACAGTGTGTGTAAAGAACTAGCTTCCCCAGACTATATGAAGGGAAGCACAGTGTGTGTGTCAAGAACTCGCTGCTCTAGACTGTGTGAAGGGGACTACATAGTGTGTCAATAACTAGCAGCCTTAGACTATAGCAAGGGAAGTGCACACACATGTACACCTTATATACTTCTCGCGATTCTGTGACAAGGGAACAACTGACGCCCGCCCAATAAACGATTCGCAATCTTGGGAAGCATTTGTCTCCCTTCTACTAGTAAGATATTTCATTAACACTGGCCAGTAGTGTTGAACATTCTTGTAGTCCGGTTACAAAGCTTGATAGGCACCCGGAACGGGTAAGCTTATTCTTACCACAATTTAATCATCTATGAATATAATTTGTGTAGTGGTAAGAGTTTACTACTGATACATTATTTGACAAGTGCCATTCAGAAGAAGAGTTAGCATCGAGTCGACCTGTTGCGCCATGCGGTTTCCCAAGTCTCCATCAAGACTCCACTAAAGTTCATCGTCTGTGACCGAAGGAACCTACGGCCTCTTATCAGGCATTACTACTCTAGAGATAAGCAATTAATTAATTATTAACCTATTTATTAGTAGTACTAACATATACACAGTAGTTTATTATTATTTATAAACACAGTAGTCATTACTACTCTAGAGATAAGCAATAATTAATTATTACGTATTTATTAGTAGTACCAACATAAACACAGTAGTTTTACCCACTATGAGTGGTATAGGCTACTAACGTATAACCCCCTCCCCCCCCCCCCACACAGCCTGCAGAAGGATAACACCCAGGAGAACCAGGTAAAACAATACAGTCCACTTGCAACGTATAGTCCATTTCAATTATTAATTATAAGGGAAGATTTCCACCAGTAATTCAACGGTACGCAATCTTAAACCTTAATTGGGAAATTCCCCACACCCCTAGTCAACACTCCTCCCAGGGCCAGCCACAGTACTCACTCGACCCAGGGACAGACACAGTACTCACTCGACCCAGGGCCAGCCACAGTACTCACTCGACCCAGGGCCAACCACAGTGCTCACTCGTCAAAGGGACAGCCACAGTACTCACTTGACCCAGGGACAGACACAGTTCTCACTCGACCCAGGGCCAGCCACAGTACTCACTCGACCCAGGGCCAGCCACAGTACTCACTCGACCCAGGGCCAACCACAGTACTCACTCGACCCAGGGCCAGCCACAGTACTCACTCGACCCAGGGCAAACCACAGAACTCACTCGACCCAGGGCCAACCACAGAACTCACTCGACCCAGGGACAGACACAGTACTCACTCGACCCAGGGACAGACACAGTACTCACTCGACCCAGGGCCAGCCACAGTACTCACTTGACCCAGGGAAAGCCACAGTACTCACTTGACCCAGGGACAGACACAGTACTCACTCGACGCAGGGCCAACCACAGAACTCACTCGACCCAGGGCCAACCACAGAACTCACTCGACCCAGGGACAGACACAGTACTCACTCGACCCAGGGCCAGCCACAGTCCTCACTTGACCCAGGGACAGCCACAGAACTCACTTGACCCAGGGACAGACACAGTTCTCACTCGACCCAGGGCCAGCCACAGTACTCACTCGACCCAGGGCCAGCCACAGTACTCACTCGACCCAGGGCCAACCACAGTACTCACTTGGCCCAGGGCCAACCACAGAACTCACTCGACCCAGGGCCAACGACAGTACTCAATCGAACCAAGGCCAGCCAAAGTACTCACTCGACCCAGGGCCAACCACAGTACTCCCTCGACCCAGGGCCAGCCACAGTACTCACTTGACCCAGGGCCAACCACAGTACTCACTTGACCAAGGGCCAACCATAGAACTCACTCGACCCAGGACCAGCCACAGTACTCACTCGACCCAGGGCCAGCCAGAGTACTCACTCTACCCAGGGCCAGCCACAGTACTCACTTGACCCAGGGTCAGCCACAGTACTCACTTGACCCAGGGACAGCCACAGAACTCACTTAACCCAGGGACAGACACAGTTCTCACTCGACCCAGGGCCAGCCACAGTACTCACTCGACCCAGGGCCAGCCACAGTACTCACTCGACCCAGGGCCAACCACAGCACTCACTCGACCCAGGGCCAGCCACAGTACTCACTCGACCCAGGGCCAACCACAGAACTCACTCGACCCAGGGCCAACCACAGAACTCACTCGACCCAGGGACAGACACAGTACTCACTCGACCCAGGGACAGACACAGTACTCACTCGACCCAGGGCTAGCCACAGTACTCACTTGACCCAGTGACAGCCACAGTACTCACTTGACCCAGGGACAGACACAGTACTCACTCGACGCAGGGCCAACCACAGAACTCACTCGACCCAGGGCCAACCACAGAACTCACTCGACCCAGGGACAGCCACAGTCCTCACTTGACCCAGGGACAGCCACAGAACTCACTTGACCCAGGGACAGACACAGTTCTCACTCGACCCAGGGCCAGCCACAGTACTCACTCGACCCAGGGCCAGCCACAGTACTCACTCGACCCAGGGCCAACCACAGTACTCACTTGACCCAGGGCCAGCCACAGTACTCACTCGACCCAGGGCCAGCTACAGTACTCACTCGACCCAGGGCCAGCCACAGTACTCACTCGACCCAGGGCCAGCCACAGTACTCACTCGACCCAGGGCCAACGACAGTACTCAATCGAACCAAGGCCAGCCAAAGTACTCACTCGACCCAGGGCCAACCACAGTACTCCCTCGACCCAGGGCCAGCCACAGTACTCACTTGACCCAGGGCCAACCACAGTACTCACTTGACCCAGGGCCAACCATAGAACTCACTCGACCCAGGACCAGCCACAGTACTCACTCGACCCAGGGCCAGCCACAGTACTCACTCAACCCAGGGCCAGCCACAGTACTCACTTGACCCAGGGCCAGCCACAGTACTCACTTGACCCAGCGACAGCCACAGTACTCACTTAACCCAGGGACAGACACAGTTCTCACTCGACCCAGGGCCAGCCACAGTACTCACTCGACCCAGAGCCAGCCACAGTACTCACTCGACCCAGGGCCAACCACAGCACTCACTCGACCCAGGGCCAGCCACAGTACTCACTCGACCCAGGGCCAACCACACAACTCACTCGACCCAGGGCCAACCACAGAACTCACTCGACCCAGGGACAGACACAGTACTCACTCGACCCAGGGACAGACACAGTACTCACTCGACCCAGGGCTAGCCACAGTACTCACTTGACCGTGTGACAGCCACAGTACTCACTTGACCCAGGGACAGACACAGTACTCACTCGACGCAGGGCCAACCACAGAACTCACTCGACCCAGGGCCAACCACAGAACTCACTCGACCCAGGGACAGCCACAGTCCTCACTTGACCCAGGGACAGCCACAGAACTCACTTGACGTAGGGACAGACACAGTTCTCACTCGACCCAGGGCCAGCCACAGTACTCACTCGACCCAGGGCCAGCCACAGTACTCACTCGACCCAGGGCCAACCACAGTACTCACTTGACCCAGGGCCAACCACAGAACTCACTCGACCCAGGGCCAGCCACAGTGCTCACTCGACCCAGGGCCAGCTACAGTACTCACTCGACCCAGGGCCAGCCACAGTACTCACTCGACCCAGGGCCAGCCACAGTACTCATTCGACCCAGGGCCAACGACAGTACTCAATCGAACCAAGGCCAGCCAAAGTACTCACTCGACCCAGGGCCAACCACAGTACTCCCTCGACCCAGGGCCAGCCACAGTACTCACTTGACCCAGGGCCAACCACAGTACTCACTTGACCCAGGGCCAACCATAGAACTCACTCGACCCAGGACCAGCCACAGTACTCACTCGACCCAGGGCCAGCCACAGT